GCTCAAGCAATCCGCCCGCCTCGGCCTTCCAGAGTGCTAGGATTAGAGGCGTGAGCCACCGCGCCCGGCACCCAGGTTGTTCTTAAACTTCCCATTAACACGTGGGCCTACCCCACCAGACTCTGAACCTCCCTGTCCCCGCCTTATCCCGCGTTTGCCTGTTGCAGTGCACCGTCTAGCTGGTGTGGGGCCTGGTATACAGTAGGCGCTCAATATTTCGTGAATAAATGAGTGAATGTGGACCTACCTGCTCAAGACCAGCTCGTAGGCCTGGCCTCGTCCAGCAGAGGGCGCTTTAAAGTGATATGCTAACGAACGCAAATGAGATGCAAATAAACCACTGGTGGGCCCTGAGGGGCTTTTTTTTTTTTTGGTCAGGCGCAACGTGGACAGCCCAGGCGCCCCAGGGCCCTGCGGCTTAATATGGCGCCGCTGCTCCTGCGGAGGGCCGGGCGGCGACGCCGGCGAGGCTCGCGGAGGCTGTAGGCAGCGCAGTCCACACCCTCCATACCTCCTCCCGCAGCCGCCTGTCGCGGCCCATGGGTCTGCCACCCGCCTCGGTCCCGCGGGAGCAGGTGTTTCTGAGCAGGCGCGCTGTGGGCAGCCCCTCCCGGGGTCCCTTGCGGCGGCGTCCCGGGGGCCTCCGGGGGCCTCGGTGCAAGATGGCGGCGACGGGGTCCGTGGGGCGCGGGCGGCGGCGACCGGGGCGCTAGTGAGGGGCCCGGGGGCCCGGGTGGCTCCGGGCCGGGGCCCCAGCGCGGGACGGACCATGCTACGCTCCACTGGCTTCTTCCGGGCCATCGACTGCCCCTATTGGGCTGGGGCGCCTGGGGGGCCCTGCCGGCGGCCGTACTGCCACTTCCGGCACCGCGGGGCCCGGGTCCCAGGCGCGCCCGGCGGCGGCGGAGCGGCGTCCCCGGCAGCAGGTAATGCTCCTCTGCCCGCCCGCCCTGGGCTTGGCTTCCCGGCCCGGGTCTGGATTCCACCGCCAGGCCCCACCCGGGACCCCCGCTCCAGACCCGGCCCCCTTTCCACACGCTCGCGGGCGGTCGTCCCCCCAACCGGGACCAGGACCCCGTGCAAGTCGCCGGGCGTCTCTAAGCCTCGGTTCTCATGAGTGTGAACTGTAAACAATGGCCTGTCAGGGCTGTCGCGAGAACGGAATGAGACAGCGCAGACGGAGCGCCGGGCTCCGGGCCGGGCACATGAGGGGCTCGCGAAAGGAGTGCGGCCAACCCTAGGCAGGCCTAGGAGTCCTCTTGCCCTTATCTGCGCCCACGCTCCTCGGGAGGGAAACCGTTGCCGCCGCTACCCCAACCCCGTGTGCTTGTGGCAGCCCTTGTTTATTTCCGCGACACTTTCCCCGACCACGCCTCTGGTCGCTGTCACCACTGTCTCCAGTAGTGGAGTTGAGAGGGTCTGAGGAGCAGTTGCTATGTGTCGAGCTGTGTGTCCAGCACGGCTGTACCGGGAGTACGTCAAAACCGAGTTGACTGGGACGGGGGTGAGGTGAGGTCGCATTCCAGGGAATGCCCTGCTTTACTGGACTGCACGTCACATAATCATGGTGGCTATCAGTGTTACAGCCGCGTTTATTGTAGCAGGTGTGGGATTTGAGCTGAGAATTTAAGAATCGTCAGGATTTGAATTGGAGCTAGAGAGGGACATCACAAAGAAAGGCTTGGAAGGAGGATTATCCAGAACCCCCCTTCCCCCTTGATCTTTGTCCCTTAGGAGTGTCTCTTCCCTCCCATCAGTCTCTGATTTCTTATATCCCAGATTTCCTCATTTGGCATCAGTTTCAAGCGTTCTCTGTCACTTTCCCCATAACATGATGATTGTCAATGTTTCTCTTCTTCCTTCGAGAGAGGAACACCTTTGGCAGGGTTAGATCGTAGACCTGTTTCTCCATTTTTGCCAGAGAAAAGGGCAGGATTTTCTTAAATTTCTCCCCTATAAATTTGCTCAGAATGCCTGCACCTGTGGCCAGCTGCTTGCAGCTGGCCACAGATGCAGGCATTCCTTTCCCAGCCCCTCACCTGGCACCCAGCATCTTTGCCGTGATCGTGCCTGATGTGGGTGATTCAGAACTGCGTGAGATGCCGGCTTTGCACTCTGGAACCCGCCGCTGAGGAGGAAAGACAGACGTGCCCACAGATACCTCAGCAGGAGGTTGTGATGCCCTGGGAGCATGCAGCTGGCTGGGGGAGGGCGGGGTGCTGGGAAGTTGGTGAAGAAGACAGTGCGTGGGAGACAGTGACGCCCAAGTCATGTTGCGTGTTTTTACCCTGTTAAAGTGCAGTTTCTTGCCTTTATTTATTTATTGGCATCGTACGTGTCAATTCTGAAAGAGCCTCCTGATTTCAGGTTCTTCACCGCTCAGACTAGCTGAGGACAGGACCACTCCCTCATGCCACTGACATCCTGACTGCTCAGAGTCCTCGGGTGGCCATCCAGCCACCAGAACTCAGGAGCACTGATTTTTCCTTACGGCGCTCCTCCCCTGCCTAGTTAGTCTTTTGATGTCTTTCTGCGTCACACATGGTCAGTTAGTTTCCCAAAGGATCGCATTTGAGGGTCCATTTGGAGATGCAGTCCTGTGAGCCCCACTTTACCACGGGGAAAATGCAGCTGCCTACCTGATACCTGGTATGTCTGCATTTTGCTTTTGTTGCTGAGAATAAATAGTCCTTTTTCCATCTCTGAGGTAGTCGAGGGGTGGGGCCTTTCGTTACTTTCTAGTAGAAGGCTGTGTCCCCCTGCAGAAAGGCAGGATCAAATCCCAGCTCAACCTTTCTTGTGGGGCTTCTCTGACCCTCTGTTTCCTCTTCTGTGACATGCCTACCTTGTCTCGATTTTGACAAGTCCGATATCCTGTCGGGTTTGAAGAGGCGGAAATGATGTAGGCTTTGCTGTGTCCTCTTGGGCTCTGTGGAAGGACAGAGGAGCCCTTCCAGCTGCCTTTGTTTTTATCCATGAGGTGTCAGTTCATTCTGATTTTGGGGTTTTTTTTTTTTTGTTTGGTTGGTTTTTGTTTTTTCTTGAGACAGGGTCTTGCTCTGTCAACCAGGCTGGAGTGCGGTGGTGCAGTCATAGCTCACTGCGGCCTCAAACTCTTGGGCTCAAGCGATCCTCCTGCCTCAGCCTCCCAAGTAGCTGAGACTACAGGTGTGTGCCACTATGCGCAGCTCTGGTTTCTGAAGCTCTGCTCTTTGTCAAGCACCCGTGTGGCCTCCTTTGTGTCTGCAGCAGACAAATAGGAAACATGTTCATTTGGCCCGTTGAGGATATTCCAGGGTGGACAGGGCTGGGGCCCAGGTCCCGAACACTGCCCCCAGCATCTCGAGGAGTCTTCACCGCACCAAACGGTAGGATGTTGTGTTACAGGGGAGATTACGGGAGAGCCCACGGCGCATCACAGGTGAAGTGGGTTCTGTCCCAGGCCTCCAGAGAGCCCGGGCTGTCTCTGCCCTGGCAGAAACGTTCCCACAATGGTAGTTTTCTGCGTGAGCGAGGCTGAGGGAGAGAGGAACAGCGTTGAGAATACAGTGATGTCAGGGTGCCTGATGGATTCTCCCACTCCCCGTTGGCACTGTGGCCCCAAGGGAGCCTCCAGTGGGAGACTGATGGTCCTTGGGAAGGTGCGGTCCCGGCAGGCAGGGCTGGGTGGTGGGACGACAGATGTAAGGACCCCACAGTCTGGCTCAGGACCTGGCAGCCATGTGAAGTTCTGATGTGGGGCTGTTGACAGCATCTTACCAGGGGACTCGGTGACTCTGAGGAGTAGCATTCAGGGTGGGAGATCCTTGGGATGGAGGTTTGGGTCAGGTGTGGTGTGGTGGAACTTTCTAGAGTGCTTCTTAGGAGGAGATGTTCGAAGTACTGTGCTTTCCAGGAGTAGGATATTGTGAATCCAGGAGAGGAGGTGTTCCCAGTGAGGGAATACACTGGGTGAAGGCAGGCGACCCAGGTCCAGAAGCCAGATGTGCACGCTGGGGCAGAGGCGGCAAGGGCGGGCGGGGCCAGGTTTGCCTCAGGTAGTTTTTATGCTGCAGGCAGGGGTGGCAAAGTGCTGGGTAGACACCGCCTGCAAGCGGGCCTCTCGCCCCCCATGCCTACATGGCCCTCTGGCCTCGGGCAGGTGGCCTCCTGCGCTTTCCAGCAGAGCCAGGGCTGGGCAGGGGTCCTCTTCCTTCTGACCTGTCAGCTGCGACCCCTGTGTGCAGCACCCAGTTGCCGCAGCACTTGCTTGGGCAGGCCCTCTGACCCCGGGACAATGGTGGGAATGATTATCCCCGTTTTACAGGAAACCGAGGCCCAGAGAGGGGAAGCCACTCGCCTTTGTATGCACAGCTGGTAAGTGGGGGAGTGGATCGGATGCGGGCGGTTAGGCCCAGGCCTTGCCACCTCCGCCGGCTCCTGTAATCGCTGGGCGCCCAGCTTGGCCCAGGCTCAGTGCTCTGTCAGGAGAAGGGAACTTGAGCCCAGAAACCTTGTGAGATGTGGCCTCGGGCAGCCCTTCCCCTACTGGGCCTCGGCCTAGCTCCAGGCAGGCCTTGCCTATCTGGAATCCTGATGCAGTCTCCAGGGAAGCCAGGCGGGCGGGGAGAGGGAGGCCCCAGACCAGCGCTTCTCTGCAGCGGGTGGGTTTTGTTTTATTTCCTCTGTGAGCTGACTTGGGACCAGGAGGGGCTCACTCCGCTGCAGGACCGCTTCCTTCTGGGGGCTGGGTGAGGGTTCACAGGGGGTGGCGGGGGCCACATGTTCAGAGACCTGACAAAAACTGCTCTCCTTGGTCTGACCTTTGCTCACCGAAGTCCTCGGACTGTTGCGCTTATTCGAGTATCCCCATTCCCAAGAGAAAGCGTGTGTCTCTAGGGCGTGTCTCTAGGGGCAGAGGCCTGGCCAGGGCATGCGAATGCCTGGGGCTGCTCTACCTGCCAGCCTGCACCCGCCTCACCCGCAAGCTGGGAAGTGTTGCCAGAGGGGTGTCGGCTATGGCTTTCTGGGGTGGAGTCGTCCTGTGTGGCTTCTCCCACCCTGGTGATAGCAGCCAGAGATGTTGCTGGGGCCACTTCACTTTGTTTTTCAGCCCTTTCCAGGGGACCAGAGAGTTCAGGCGTGGCTCCTGTTCCTGAGAGCGAGACTCCCCCAAGCTGGGGGGATTGAAGCTTCGCCCACGCCTCCCACCATAGGGTGGGTGGGTGGTTCTCTTGTTCTGTCGTTCAGATGTCATCAGGACTGAATTCATGCTCCTGTCGCCAAGGTGGATCTTGGTGGGTCACAATGCGACGCCCGTGGACAGACGCCTGCACTGTTGCCTGAGTTCTCCCAGCGCCTTATTTTTGTTCCGGGCTAGGAGTGATGTTCGTTTTAGAAACAGAGGAGGATACAGAGGGGTCAAAAGAGAATTGCTTTTTAAATCGCCAGAAGCCTGCGTCTAGCAGCTTGCTCTGTCCCTTCCCAGACCTGAAAGGCAATGGGCCTGGCGATTGGTGTCCTCTTACAGTGGTTGGATAGGTTGGATCGAGCCAGACAGGTCACATTGGGGTCTGTGGTTTTCCGAGCCTCCTCCCCAGGTCCTGAAGTCCCCACCTGGTGGCCCTTCCCATGGCTGGGGAGCTGTGAAAACCTGGCTTCTCCCAGATCCAGCCCTGGAGTCAGAACCTCTGGGCCTGGGCCGTTAAATCAGGATACAAAGGAACGCATCTGTGCTTAAAGCTGTTGTGGTATTTTAGGATTCTTTGCCTAGTGTCCGTCAGTACAGCAGTGATCTCAACCTGTGTCTGGAGATGTTTTGGTCATCAATTTAGGGATGTTGCTCAACATCCTGCAGCGTCCGGGTCCCCCCCCGCTGCCCAGAAGGCAGAGAGTCAGTGGTTCCAGGGAGGGTGGGGACCCAGACCTGGAGCCCCTCCCCTGGCCT